GCATAATGACTTTAAACCCCTTGCCAAACCTCCTACGCATTTCACAAGTAGTACGATTCGCATATCTGCATTTCCCATAAATATGCTAAATTCCTCTTGATATGCAAATTATTTTGTCAAGACGCTCTTCGCCCCTCCATCCCAGCTTAAATAGACGCTCCAAGCCTGGAGCGTGCCATTCAGACTCTGTCTCTCGACAGACCTGTTCTTCACCTGAAGACGGCTGCTTGCGTTGTGGCCGAAACGTCGTGAGAATTATTTTATTATGTTTTATTTTTATTATTTTATTATTTTCCTTCTACGTGACTTTACCGAAAGAACCAAGAAGATGTAAGCACTCATTAACACCTTACTATGTAGAGGACCGCAGAGCTTTGGCAATTGTTGGTGCCGGCTTACTGCTTGGCTACCTTCCCACTTGTCTGTGGTTCCTCCTTGCGCCTCTTGAGTCGATATTTTGGGATTTTCGAGAGCGAGTGAATACGGTTGGACGCGTTGCAATGTTAAATTAATGTCCATCAGAAGGCCCTCCCAATCATTGTAATTGAGCGTGGTGGAAATATTGGGTCAAGTATATATTTTTGTACGTGTAATTGGTAGTAAAATACGTTACATAGCTCCGTCACCAATATCAAGAACATCCACTGGTTCCTTACGGTGAAAATGTCCCCTGAGCGACTCTGTGTGGTTAAAAAAGACTAAACTCAGTGTTGTAACCAACGGACTGACGGACGGACGCACTAATGGACAAATGACGTTTCTTACATAGACACACAGTTTTTGCCCTCCACATTTAGAAACATCTGTTTAGATTGTATGGCTGCTTAGGCCTCGGCAAGGCAAGGTAATTGACCCTTTTTACCGGGTAAAAGGGTAAAGGTAAAGGTGTCGACATGCCAAGGGGTAAGGGTAAAGGGTAGGGTAAAGGTAGCTCGGAAGAATTGCCCGGTAGGGTAAAGGTAGCACGAAGTATTACCCGGTAAATACGGTACCTTGTTTACCGCTAAAAGCTCCGTGGCGCAGTCCGTGGCCTACATTTAATAAGTAATATTAAAACAAACTTTATTAAAAACATGTTTTTTTAAATTGTACGAGTAATGGCAGAACTCCACGACTCCAGGAAGTGGCCCCGAAGCTTGCCACAACGTCAGGGACCGTGACCAATTACAGCCAACGTCAGTTGAGCGTGGACAATTAGAGCCAAGCCGAAACATAACATGAAAAAAATAATGTTTAAAAAAATATATATTTGTAATGATAGAATATAGTATTGTCATCAGTAAGACATAAGTATACCAAGTTTGCAGTCGATACCACATTGGGAAGTGGGTAAAAATTGAGTTTCAAGATTTGAGGATACAACAACAACAATAACGACAACAACGACAACAACAACAGACAGTGAGTTAAAAGAAAGCGTGTAAAATTGGAATCATCGAAAGTATTCTATATGATTAAAGTGCTCTACCTAGCATTTACCGTTCTAAAACCTTGTTCATGTGTAGTAGTTCCCTAGTAATTACCCTGTAATCGGGTTATTTGTATGGGGTAAGGGTAAAAGGTAGGGTAAAGGTAAGCTCGTTGCTTTTTACCGTTTACCTTACCTGCTAAAGGGTAAAAGGTAGGGTAGAGTGATTGTATTGTGGTAAGGTGAAAGGTAGGGTAAAGGTAGGCTCGTTTTTAAATGCTTTATATTAAGTTCGCTTGCTTGCGTGCTTGCTTGCTTACGACCGTGCAAATCTTTCGGTCGTTTTTTAACCCACTTCCCGTGATCCAATCGAGATGACATTTTGCACACAGACTCGTTGTGCGAGACAATTAATGTTCGTGAAATTTTTTTCCCAAAATTTTACACTGTTTAGGGAAAACAAATTAAATATTTAATTACCAATTGCTTAATACTGGCAGACAATCATCTGGCCCATAGGTGGCAGCCATCTCAAGCCAGAGGGCGAGAGGACTCTAGCTGCCACGCATATAAAGGATTTATAGTGAAAAACTTTGTTTTTACGGGTTATACTTGTTACCTTTTAACTTTTACCTTACCTTGCCGAGGCCTATGGCTGCTCGAAATTTACACACGATAAGAAGACACTTCGTTGAGCTATCATTTGTGGCTAGGTCGCTAATGGCTCAGTTGGGATTTTACCTCGGTAAATAAAATATGGGTTCTTTTCCATTGTTTTTACTTTGTTTAACAAAGACAGCACACATTGGCTCTGTGGTTGTGAACAGCAGGTGCACTCAATATAAAGTGACGCTATCGTGCGAGCACCATTTGATTGAACCTTACTCTCTGGGAACAAATCACCTGCCACATCAGGACTTTATCAGCCGCGTACGCTCAGCCGACTGTTAATAATAAAAAAAACACTCCCCCCAATGAATGTACCTGTTATCTTCAAGGCTACGGCAAACATTTGACGTTTAAACTCTAGATAAGGGATCACGAGCACGAGGGGTGGGGGGGGGGAAATGGCATCGTTATCTTCAGCAAAGGGAGCACAGTTCCAAGGGCATTCGGCACATAGTGCCCGCATTGAGGTCTCTGTGTAGCTCTTTTGTGTGCGCCAATGACTGGTACCGAGTGGAGCGGAATTGCTTAAAACCAGCGGGTCTTGACCCTTCCGTGGGTGGTGGAGGGCAACAGGCTGCCTGCAGGAGACAATTTTTAATGTGCTCCGGGAATGTTGGCGCCACGTTATGGCGACAAAATAAAGAACAAATAATAACACAGACATGAAACAAATGCCTGGCACTTGACCGAGAGCCATGACATGGGACATGTCATCCCTCTGTATTAATGTCTGTATCGATCACTGCCTGAGTAACCTTAGTGGTGTTTTTTGGGGCTAAATGGGGATGGTGGAGGTGCGGGAAGCAGTGGTTTTAAACTAAACTAAGTTTTTTTTATTGAGGGGCCGCAATTATGATAAGATTGAGACTGCTAGTTTAGATGGTGTGTTCTTGGCTTATTTCCATGCTCCATCGAGATCTTTTCTTCGTTTGAGTTGAGAGGTCCTTCACATTTTAAATATCGGAGAACCCTCGTATTCCACTCCCCTATGATCTGCAACTCCTATTATCTACAGGCGCTATAGGGTCTATTGCTTTCCATGCAGGGTTTTAGTGTTTCGATGATTGTCCCGATCATCATAATCAGTAGCCAAGAGGCAAATGTAGAATTTTCAGGTTTACCAGATTAAATCTAGATTTGAAGCTTTCGTGACTGCAGGGATTAATCTTCTTGGTTCTTTCGGTAAAGTCACGTAGAAGGGAAATAATAAAATAATAAAAATAAAACATAATAAAATTCTATTTTCACGATGTTGCGGCCACAACGCCGAAACGGCTGCTTGCGTTGTGGCCGACACGTCGTGAGAATTGTATTTTATTATGTTTTATTTTTATTATTTTATTATTTCCCTTCTACGTGACTTTACCGAAAGAACCAAGAAGATTTACCGAAAGAACCTAAGAGTATGGTTTACCAGAGTTCACGTGCAGCGGACCTCATTTTCCCAGGGATCCACGTACCCTGTTGCACGGTGGTGGTGGTATGAGGCCCAAAGTGCCCTCTCGGGTTTTTATGCAGGTTTCGCGAAATTAACTCTTCAGTCTAACGTCACCACGGGCACATAGGTGACCTCAAGCTTAGGGGTCACATTCCAGCCATGACACTTCACTGCCATCAGCGGCGCTTAGTGCTGCAGACTATGTATGATACTGGTAGGAACCACCTGGTTCCACCAGCCCACAGGGGATTATTGTGTCCGTCCGTTCGTCGTGCATCCAAAAATGGGAGGGGTAGGGCTGGGTGGTGAGCGAAGGGTGGGGAGGGGCTGGGTGGGGAGGGTGGGGGGGGGCTGGGTGGGGAGGGTGGAGAGAGGCTGGGTGGGGAGGGAGGGGCTGGGTGGGGAGTGGGAGGGGTTGGGCTGGGTGGGGAGGGGCTGGTCACCCCGTGGTGCCCTTATAAAACTCAACGTTTAACCTACTCACGCCGGCTTGTGCCCGCCCTCACAGTCGGGCATATTTGCGGAATACACCACGCCGCCGTTGACCCTGGCCATTGACCGAGCAACCCAACGTTCCTACCAGCTCCCTCCGCAGGACAATGTGTTATGTTTTACGGTATGATTCTGAAATTGAATCATAATCCCGAATCCAGTGATTAATTGTAACGTTATAATAACCCACCCCATTGTCTTAGTTATCGAATTTTTGTACCATACTTCACCATGTTGGTCAGTGCTGGGTTTTTTAAAGGGGTGGGTTGATGGGTGTGAAGGGGGGTGCCAGGATTGTTTCAGATATTGACTGGCCGTCGATGTTAGCCATGGCGGGGGAATTAAACTCAGGTGAATCCCATTACCATGGTCAAATAAATGTCACAATCATTCTTAAAATCCAATATCTTAATCATTGACATCAGCCATTGTCTTTATCCACTGTTGGATTAATGCCCTCCCCCATGCCGTTATCACAACTCACAGTACTTGAGGTACCACACAACACATCTCACACCAGAACTAATAACTTGACAACTGTAATTGTTTGTATATGTCATTGTATCATTTTTTTCTCTCAAATATATTTATTTTTAATACAATTTTCAGTTTTTGCCACATAAATTAAATCGTTATTTTTGTAAACACAGTACCAAATATGCTGGTCAAACCAGAGTTTATTGTGGATATTTAATTAATATATTTTCAAAGTAAACAATGACGTAAATAATAATTGTACGGAGCATGTCCAATTCATTTAAAATAACCAGACAACAACGAGGCACCTCCTAACCATTATTTTCCACAATCAATTGTAATGTTTATTTGAAGTTAAAAATACTATATGTAACCATAATATATCACAATTATGCCTGTACAACTCTCGGGATTTTCACCTCCATCAAATTTCATTAAAATAACAACAACAACAAAATTGCCTTTGGCCATGTAGCATATGCATTTAAAAACAGCTGTTTTCAAAAGTCAAAAAAGTAGCATATCCGGAAGTATTTATTTAAAACAATTCATAACGTACAGTGCACAAGCCTGAATTGTCTTTTAAAAAATGTACACAACTGCGTTTTTTTGTAAGAACAAAGGATAAAGTGGTCGTTTGGTTTTTGAAGAGATGTGTGCATTCCTGTAGGTTTCTCTCCAGACAGCGATCTCAATGCCCAGGTCATAGAGTTTACCGTTTTATAACCTTTGCTTTTACTTCTTTAATTTTATTTTCTTCTTTTTTAATTTAAACAACTTCATTCTGAAAGAAAAAAAACGGGTGGGGGGGAAACAGCGGTCGTAAAACAGAGTTCGAGCACAACGGAATATAAGACGCACTGGTGAAGGCAATGGACACGTTGAATGTACTGTTGAGTGTTTAGGGCTGGTCGAAATTATCGCAGTTTGAGCAGAGTCGTTGCATTTATGACCCGATTGGAGGTTTACGAATAGGTCAGTTGGTTTGACGTCTACAAACTAATCTGCCTCTCTCTGCTCCAATTGCAGCTATAAAGATTTAAGACTCTGGAAATATAATTTAAAAAACGGTTCATTGTGTTCAAATTTCGATAAAGCAAATGTTTACGTCAATTAACCTATGACATTTTTTATACTTTTCACGACCAATATTATGATTTACAATTAGTTTCTGATTCACGTTGAATCATAATGAGTTCCTTTTGTATTACATCATCATGTAGACATAGTGTCAATTTTATTAACTATAACTCCACCACCTAACAGAGCCAATCAAATCAAGTTGTCACGTGGGTTGGGGGGGGGGAGGAATTTGTGAATTGATTTGATTTTTCAGAAAACCTGGAAGGATGTTACAAAGCAAGCCCGTTTTACAAATGCTTTCAATGTTTCTCCCCCCCCCCCTGGAAATGCAAACGAGAATCATCAGGGAGGTGTTCACAACATCTCAACTTTCACCTGAAAGACCTTCCTGAAATCGTGTCTTTAAGTAGTTGCCGTGCTGTCGTCAGATTGCTGGTTGTGATTGGCAGATTAGATTGGTGTCATATGGTGAATCGATGCAGTGCTCGGCGAAAATAGACTTCTCTTAATTATACTCCATTCAGTTGTACGTGTATGGTGTTAGTTAGAAAGCACGAGTTGTGATGCTATTGTGAATCTATTTAAGTGTTCGTTAGTTTCGTCCTTTCTCTCCTCGCTTAGCTTAATCCCTACCCATTACCTCCAATTTACTCATTCAAATGTCTGCCCGCTGAGACGTTTGCCACATTATGGGTGCACGATAAATTAAAGTTGTCGCTAATGTTGTTATTATTATTATTATTATACAGTGGCCCTGGTATTCCTGGGAGAGGCAGATACTATGTTGCGATGTTTTCAACTGGCTTTAAATATCGATGTATGTATGTATTTTAGTTTTCTCTCTCCCTAACTGGGAGTAATGGGAGAGGACCGTTGTAAGTAGCGAGGGGAAGGTTTACCTTCATGCAGGTGCCACAGAGCACCCCGATGAGGCCGTTGATCATCTGCGTTGCGCACAGCACGACCTGGGCGCCGCTGAAGCAGATCAGCATCGAGAAGAGCACGATGTTCCACAGGACTACATTTACAGGCTTTTTACATGTTGTCCAAACATCTTGATTGAACAGGTAGCTACCACTGAGGCTGAAAATCATCACACGGACAGGAACAAAGATAACGCATGTCGGACAACAACAAATATTGCAGGGACAACAAAAAAAATCGGGGACAAGTAAATTAACACACTGATCATGTAACATTACGTGTATATGTACAGTCCCTATGTCAATCCTCTGCTGGATGAGGGCTACCCCACAACCGGATGGGTTTGTGTGAGTTTTATGACCATACTTTACCACGCTGGTCAGTGAGGCTTGGTTAAGGTCGGCAGCATAGGCCAAAGGCTGCCAAAATGCTGTCAAACATTAAAAGCTTTGGTTAAGCAGTTATATCTATAGGACTCTTGCCAGTATTAAGATGTTAAAAATATATATGATACAGGTGTTAAGGATGTTAAAACACACCAAATAAACACCAGCAGAAGGGAAAACTGCATCTACAAGCCTTGTCCTACGTGGTGTATTATTGTGAAATTGACAAAAAAAATGAGACTTTTCAGGGCCTGGGAAGACTCAGAGAGATTTCCCAGGACAGTGACATCAAGAAGAGGACGATTCTGATAAAACGAGGATCGGTGGAGCCCGTGTCAGAGAAGGCCTCATCCGGCGTTTTGCCCAGGGCCTCCAAAACGTTTTGGCAACTCTCGCGAGAGGTTGTGGCGGCAAGGCATGAAAATCCACGTACTTAAGATATTGAGTTGGCATGGTGTCGTTTATGAATGGGGACATCCAGGATTCATCATCATTCTCGTCAGTCATGCAGAAGGGTCCATCCACCATTCCAGTGACTGACACAATGAAGCAGTACCCAGCACCCACGATGCCCACGGCGTTGAAGAGGACGGAGAACAGCATCTGCGACAACATTCACGTTCACTCGTTAAAATCGTACACGTGACCATTGCCTCGTGCACGTGTGCATGTGCAGCCCTCGTATTGTTTTATCCCCCAATCCACCGCTTGACGACGACCTCGGCCACGCCGTGAGTTGTCGTGGGAGTTCTTTGACGATGCTTCGGCGTGCCGGTGAGTGGGTGTTGGTGAAGGCGCCGAGGGCAGAGAGAAGGTGACGTAGAAATACAAAACTAATCATGTATTTAACCCAGGTCACCTTTGCCAATGAGGAAATGTTTCACCGCTCTCAATTGCTTTATTTCATCTGGTTAAATCAAGGCTACAACAACTGTACATCTGTGAAAATAGCTTCGTAGGTCAACGGATCCCTCCTGTCTACATAAAGATTTTGTTTTGATGAGCAGATTGAGAGACAGAAGGAGGCGACACACGGAATCGATAACCTATGGATGTTAATGACTTCATTCAAATTGTTAAGACAAGAAAGTGGGTTTGGACAGAACTCATCACTCGGCAAAATAATACAGGAGGAGTTATAGAGTGGCAGCCAGGGATGGAGCACTTCTGAGAGGACGTGTAACTTGAAGATGGAGAAATTAAATCATCCGGTATGAAGGTGGCGGGGTGGATCGTTGCATCGTGAAATCGAGAGCAAAAGGTGGCTTGATGATGATGAATATAATCAACCGTTTCATAGTTGGGTTTCATTGGCTTATGATATCGATTCATCAGTGTGTGTTCTCTAAAATGGAAATGTAATCTTTACCCCGCAACGATTTCCACAGCAGCCCTTCTCATCCAGCCTGGTGTTGAGCAAGGCTGGAATGAACATCTGAAAGAGCAAAATAAACGATGCAATATAAGCGGCACTCGGTAAAATATTTACAACACTTGTTTAAAATCTTTGGGACAGTCTGCACATAACAAAATTGCTGCTAAGTCATTTACTAAACTTTGTGCTGGCTTAATTAAATCAAAGTTTCTCGACGGGAAAAATTGTGCATCAAATTAAGGTTACAGCAATTTTAGATATCACATTATTTTACATTCTGTATAATCTCTACATAATATACCATGCACATAGTCGTTGTACACAAATGCATACGTGCAATTTACTCGAGTTGCAATGATATATAAATCAATATATTAAGAGATTAATCTCAAAATACACGTGTTGAACTTTATATGAATATCTGGTGAGGCGAGGCTGTTGCAGTGGTTCACACATTGCACGATGAGCCCAGCAATCCGAGTTTGATTCAAAGCCACGACTAACATCAGTGGCGAGTGTTATCTGGACCGTGTCAGGCCCCCCCACCCTATCACCTGACGGCACTCCAGCTCGGTGAAGTAATACCCATGGAGATGTTAGCCATGGACGGGAATCGAGCTGATTCAGAGTGCGATCTTGGTTCGCGGAGCATGGAGCAGCTCGCCAACAACTGCGCCACCGCTCCACCGCAATGTATCAATTAAAAAAAATAGTCAAACTGATTTTCTACTCCAAGGAGCATTTAGCCGTGAGCCAGTGGCATAGAACAACCACGAAAACAGGACTTATTTTATTGACTCCAGTGGGATGATGGGCTGATTTAAGAACCCCAACCAGGATTTGAATTCGAAATTCACAACCTTCCCGTGATTCACCTGGCTGGAATGTACCAGCCCTGAAGAATGGAAGACTTACCAGCAGCCCGGCGCCGACTATCCCATGGAAGAACCATACTTGTGGGGTGAGTTTATTATTTGATGCAAATTCCACTTTTGCATCGGGGAAAAATAGCAGGATGTTGGCGAGGATTGACAGCACGGCCAGCGGAATGAGGGCCTTGCCAATGAAGTCGGCGCACTTGCCGGTACACATCTTTCAATATCTGGGAGAATTAAAAGAAAAAGTCAAGTCTTTCAACAATGAGGCAATCACATATGTTTGCACGGTGGGTCTAAAAACACACGCAAAGGCAGAGAGGGTTTGGTAAAGGTGCAGTCCTGCAATTGCTCAATCACACAACTGCTGGCAGAATGGCTTCCACAAGACGATGCTCAAGAGAGAACCCCCTCGACAGAGTATTTGGCCTACTCTTCTACCCAGGCCAGATATCTTGGTAGAAGTGTGAGTAGCCATACTCTGCTACCCCATCTCGCACGACCTGACGATGGACTCCGATATATTCCTTTCATACTGCTGGGTGGACAGAGGCGGGTGGGTTGTTTTAGAAACTCGCAACATTGTTTCAACTGCGACTGTGTAAACCATTACACAATTGTTATTGAGATTTAGTGGTAATTTGGCTAATAAAAAAATTGCGCCCAATAAAGGCGCAAACAGCTTTTCCGCCAAAACATATATCAGGCCCAGCATTTTAATGGACTCTCATTTGGTTGTTTGAACAAAACCATCATAGTGCAATACAAAATGCCTCCATGCCTAAATGAGCTGCAAGGCAGCAATCGTCTATGTTGGCAACCCTGAGCCGACGGTGAAAATTCCACACTCCAACAGGAGAGCCAATTCTCTCACTTTTCCACGGATCCACTGTTCGTACTCAATTTCACAAAATCCAGCTCTGCACGTCCTCACTTTTACGTTAATGCACACACACCCTGTCGTGCAAGTTCAGTGCATTTGAACTGACCTTGTTTGCGTTCACAGTCCGAGAGCTCAGGTGAGGATGAGGTGAGGAGGATGAGATGCTTGCTGCTCGTTGCTCCGATCGATGAACGAATGCCTGAGCCGTGCTGCTGTGTCGCCTTTTGTACTCGCTAAGCCACAAAATTTCGCAAGTTTCCACGGTGACAAGTCCTCCGCTGTGTGTGTGCGCGGTGGGGGTTAGTAGGGGTGTTGAACCCCCTCGCCGCCCTGTCCGTAGTCGGTCGGTACGAGGAGGAGGGGTGGGGGAGATACGGAGAAGGGGGCAGCCCTGCTTCACTCGTCACGGCTGTTGACCCTTCCGTTAATGTTTAACCAAAAAAAAATTAAAGCAACGACTTTTTTTTTTGGGGTCTCCTATCCGTGCCACGGTGTAAAACAAATTGGTGCAAGGTACCGGGTGGCACAACACGCTGACGCATAATCTCGGCCATATAACTGCACGCAACACCAGCCCAGCCCTCAACCTTGGAGAATGTAAAGCTCCGCACATAATGTGTATTTGATTTACCAAAATATTGGGTCCTTCTCAAGGGGGCCTCTTGGCGTTCGGGAAAGCCCTCTGTTGTGCCATAACGGCCACCTGCACCCTTTGAAAAAAAAAACCGGACTGATGGGAGCAAAGGCTGGCACCACGGGATTAGATAAACGAATGAATTCTGGGTAAACCCATGGTGCATGCGGTTTATTGGTTTCAAATACTCAACAAGGTGGTGTTGGGTGGTCACACTTTCCAAGTGGGGCCTTTTGATAAGGAATCTTGAGACACAAAGCGGTCCAGGAAAATGAATACAGTACTTTAGTATTATATGTTTGACATGTAGTTAAGTACAGGACTGCAAATCACGTTGCATGATGTATCTTGAGCTTTGGTCCCTGCACCTCCAAGTTCTTGATCACACAATTGCGTCCGATTTGCGAGCTTGTGGTTATTATCTCACCAAATATAAAATACCTTTCAGTTTAATTGTTTTTTTTACCCTTCTATCTGGCAACAAAACTGACACCTTTTTTTTACAAAGAGTCATGTTTGCATAGACCACAATACCTGCAGTCATAATGCAAACAAAAACACAACTCTGATAATGTGCACTGTCCTTGAAGTTGATTGGTCCACACCCGAGACAGCTTTCCTTAGAGCCTTGTCTCACATGGGTTGGACCAACCCATGTGCAAACATGACTCTTTGTAAAAAAAGGTGTCAGTTTTGTTGCCAGATAGAAGGGTAAAAAAAAAACAATTATCATATTTTTACTGGCAAATGAGGTTCCAATGGTGTAAACCTTTCAGTTTATAAACACATTGGCTTTTACAGACGTTTTTAAATTAGACGTACGTTCATGCAAACAGCTGTAAAGGAAATGTACACAAAATATATCGTTTTTCCTAATTAAAAATATACGTTACTGAATTTATTGTCATAGGGCAGATGCAACATCTACATTGTTATCATGAAAGTGCAATTAACAATTATCAGACTATACTTCCCAATCCAATTATAGTTAATCGTCAACTCCTAACTGTACTGTGTCATTTCATTAAAAACTCTGCATTGTCCACAACTAAATGTTACATGGGGCTGGCTAACTGAATTATGTGTTAAGTGGTGTTTTGTTTTTGTTGTTAAATGTCCCACCCCCACCATATCCCCTCTCCACCGATCACAGAGAGAACAACTGAGAGGCCCTCTCTAACCAACCAGGAACTCTTAAGAGCACGCCACCACTCAGCTGCTCACTTGAGCAGGCCGGAGATTGAGCGACGGGTCACACGAAAAACCTCTCCAGCTCGCCATCGTACGAGAGAGCGAGAGCGGGCAGCCGCTGGCAAGGGCAGTTCGTAGTTTGTGCTCATTCCAAATCAACCACAATACCTCGCTGATCTCACCTTCTTCTTCCTAGTGTTGTTCCCGCTGTGGTGCAGGGTCCGCTTTTCGGCATTGTCTTCTCCATTTGGCTCGGTCCAGGGCATCTTCGGGGGATGCGTTGACCGTCTTCACGTCTTCCTTGATTCGATCCATCCATCGCTTCTTCGGACGTCCGCGTGGACGGCGGCCCTCTGGCTCAACACGCACGGCAGTCTTGGCCACTGATGACTCTTCACTTCGCATCACGTGGCCGTACCACCGAAGCCTTGCCTCAAGCATCTTGTCCGCAATGGGGGCCGCACCAAGTCGCTTCCGAACGTCTTCGTTCCTGACACGATCCCATCGAGTGAGCCCGAGGCTCCATCTGAGCATCCTCATCTCCATGGTGTGGAGAGCTTGTTCGTGTACAGTTGTGGCTGTACACGCTGATCTCATCAAGTAACATAAACCGTGACGCGACACTCTGATCGTTTTCACCGTGGCTTTTGGCTGGCCATCGAACAAAGACACTCGCTGCATCGCGTGTTTTCGGATGCGTTTCTGTGGCCGTCTGGAACGCTCTTCCTTCCGATATTAGGACGCCGCTGGAGCGATGCACTTTTAAATCATCATCTAGATCGACAAACTCATTTCCTTAGAACTGCTTTTTGTGATTAGTTTGTTGTCCTTCTCCTGCACCTCAGCGCGGTGCGAAAGAAGTTCAAAATACTCGCGTGCAGAAGGGCAAAATACATTCAAATTACGAATTGAGCGGCAGTCCTGTTTACTCGTACGGCACGGTGATTGGCACAGTGACATATGTCGATGTCGAGCTTGGTGAGCCAGTTGAGGCCCGTAGCTCTGCAAGTGAATGTCCGAGGCGTTGCCGGCGAACGAGCGAAGCTGGAATTGGTGGACTATGTGTTCCATCGGTTTGGCATAGCCCGCTGATTTTAATCGTCCACCAGCGTAAGCGGTGGCCGGCGCATCTGCGGTCCGAGGGTTGGGATGCGGATGAAGGGAGACCGCGTGATCATTGTTTGGTAGGTCCATCCGAGCGGTTCTTGCTGATAAATTAGCTCCAGCGATAATGTCGCGAAATAGACGATACGATTATCGTGGATTTGTGTATCGTAGCGTTGACCAGCACCAAGGCAACCCTAATTCTCCATTTGCTCGCCTGGAAACAAAACCCCACACAAACACACATTCAATCATAAAATGTACTTTATTGCTTGCAGACTTTATGGATGCCTGTATGAATTTCTTTTTTTTTTTGACGAATTGTATCTTTCCCGTGTGAAAAGCCATAAAATATGATTCACTTGAAAATGTTGTCACTTTGCACACGCACGTGGTCAAGTGCAGACCTTATCGGTCACCCCGTGTCCCGTATAAATCTCAACGTTCTTCCTTACAAAGTCCCATCACAAGGGAGAAACACAAACAAATAGGAAAATACATTTTTGTCGTCCGTGTTGAAACGGCTGTAACGCCGTATGGACCTGAAAACTCAATTTGCCTGCACAAGAATACGGGGTATAAACCGTGATGGGTTGACACGGTATGCTGTTGTACCGTGCCGGCCTTCATAGGTGCTCGCTAACAACACCTTGCCCGACAGTCCGTGAAGGCTACACGGGGGGTGGCACCTTTGTCTTTGGTAACACCCACCAATTTCCTCCAAGACGGTATGGGGCCGTCCATAAATGACGTCACGAACCTGGGGTGGGGGGGGGGTCAGACATTAGTGACTGTGTGTGACGAGGGGGGGGGGGTTGAGAAATGAGACGTCACATCAAAATGCGTAACTTTAAATAAATATAGACAACACGTTCTACTCTTATTCTTGGTTCTTTCGGTAAAGTCACGTAGAAGGGAAATAATAAAATAATAAAAATATAAAACAATATTTTTCTATTAATTCCCTTCTACGTGACTTTACCGAAAGAACCAAGAATATGAATCCCTGCAGTCACGAAAGCTTTAAATCAACACGTTCTACTTAATTAAATAGACTTTTTCATAATTTTTTTTCTCCTACAACATCAGAGTGCTTTAAATAGCGATTTGAAGCATTTTTTATTTTTGTGGGGGGGGGGGGCAGAGCTTTGTGACGTCATATTTGAGGGGGGGGTCTGACTTTTTGTGACGCCGTGTGACGAGGGGGGGGGGGGCAAAAATCGTCCAAAATCGCGTGACGTCATTTATGGACGGTCCCTTTGATAAGCAAAACAAATTATGGAAATCCAAACTCCGCCCCTACCTTAACCTCCTCCGTGTCTAAATATAACCCTTTTTGTTGTAATAACCCTAAACATGAGGAATATATTGGACTTTGCCAGTAGCGTCGACGATGAAGTCGGAATCCTCGTCCCGACGTCCGTTTCGCCCTCGAGTGTTGCGACAGACCCGCGGAGTCGTCAGAAATAATAATAATACTCTTAGGTTTTTTTCGGTAAAGTCACGTAGGTAATAAGTATAACCCGTAAAAACAAAGTTTTTCACTCTAAATCCTTTATATGCGTGGCGGCTAGAGTCCTCTCGTCCTCTGGCTTGAGATGGCTGCCACCTATGGGTCAGATGATTGTCTGCAGTATTAAACAATTGGTAATTATATATTTAATGTTTTCCCTAAACAGTGTAAACTTTTGGAAAAAAAATTTCACGAAAATAAATTGTCACGCACAACGAGTCTGTGTGCAAAATGTAAGCTCGATTGGATCACGGGAAGTGGGTTAAAAAACGACCGAAAGATTTGCACGGTCGTAAGCAATCAAGCACGCAAGAACGCAAGCACGCAAGCAAGCAAGCGCACTTAATATAAAGGATTTAAATATATAAACAATATAAATAATAATAGAAATAAAATAATAATTATAATAATTGAGTATGAATCCTTGCAGTCACGAAAGCTTCAAATCTATAAATAATAATAATAATGGAATAGTGTAAATAGTGTCGCGTGATATTGTTTAGTGTTCCGTGTGTGTGGTGTGTTAAAATGAATATACATGAGGGGAAGATGAGTGTGAGAAGCGCGTTTTGGGGGGTTTTGTCACGACGATGTTGAGTAATATGGGGCCGTCCATAAATGACGTCACGCGATTTTGGACGATTTTTGACCCCCCCCCCCCACCTCCTTCGTCACACGGCGTCACAAAAGTCAGACCCCCCCCCCCTCAAATATGACTTCACTGAGCTCTGCCCCCCCCAACAAAAAAAAATATGCTTCAAATCGCTTTAAACTATTGTCATTGTAGTGCGTATTTAATGTGGCGCTGCACTCTGATGTTGTAGGAGAAAACTTTTATTAAAAAAAGTAT